AAGCCTGTGTTTCTGTTTCCTTCTTGCTGGTTGGTGGGGACATGGCTGCTATTTTGTTAATCACCTCCATTGGAATTTGACGGTGTCCATCTTGCCACTTCACTCCTAGGAACTGAATTTCCTGAGCAGGTCCCTTGACTTTACTTCATTTAATGGCAAAACCAGCTCTTAGGAGAATCTGGATTATCTTCTCTCCTTTCTCGAAGACTTCCCCCGCTGTGTTCCCCCAAACAATGATGTCATCAATGTACTGTAGATGTTCTGGAGCCTCACCCTTTTCCAGTGCAGTCTGGATCAGTCCATGGCAAATGCTGGGACTGTGTTTCCACCCCTGAGGCAGTCGATTCCAGGTGTACTGCACACCCCTCCAAGTGAAAGCAAATTGTGACCTGCACTCCGCTGCCAAAGGAATGGAGAAAAAGGCATTTGCAATGTCAATGGTGGTGTACCACTTGGTTGCCTTGGACTCCAGCTCGTACTGGAGCTCCAGCATGTCTGGCACAGCAACACTCAGGGGTGGTATGACTTCATTGAGTCCACGGTAATCCACTGTCAGCCTCCACTCTCCACTGGACTTACGCACTGGCCATATAGGGTTATTAAAGGGTGAGCGAGTCTTGTTGACCACCCCCTGGGTCTCCAGGTCACGGATCATCTTATGTATAGGAGTCACAGAGTCTCGGTCGGTGCGGTATTGCCGACGGTGCACTGTTACTGTGGCTATCGGTACCAATTGTTCTTCAACCTTCAGTAGTCCCACAGCAGAGGGGTCCTCTGAGAGACCAGGCAAGGTGTTCAACTGTCTAATTTCCTCTGTCTCTACAGTAGCTCTGCCAAAAACCCAACAAAGTCCTTTTGGGTCTTTGAAATACCCACTCCTCTGGTAATCTATGCCAAGGATGCATGGGGCCTCTGGGCCAGTCACGATGGGGTGTCTGTGCCATTCCTTCCCAGTCAGACTCGCTTCAACTTCCAGTACAGTCAGCTGTTGGGATCCCCCTGTCACCCCAGAAATAGAGATGGATTCTGCCCCTAAATATTTTGATGGCATATCTTTGTGGTTCTGATGTGCCAGGTCACTGAATCCACACTGTCCAATAGACCCGATTGTCCCTCTCCTCTACCTGGCTAGAGGCAGGGCACCCCTAGTCCTTGTCATGGTACTCATTGTGCTCTTCTTGTGAGTATGACCTGGAGGTCCCTTCAAGAGGATCAGACGTATCATCATTCCTGTACCGTCTGGAGTCTTGCCCACGAGAGACTGGAGCAGCATTTACCCTTGAAGAGTTCCTTGTGGTACTTGTTCCTCTTTTCAGTTCATGTACCCAGGCTGCTAAAGAAGAGGTGGGTTTCCCATCCCACTTCCTCATATCTTCTCCGTACTTATGGAGGTAAAACCATAGATTGCCACATTGAGTGTACCCTCTCTCCTTAGTTGGGGGACCCTGACTCCGGATAGCAGAGACTCTTGTTTGTCCTGGCGCGATTTGGAAGATCCCTTCATTAATTTCTTCTCTTAGTTTCTGGTGTCCCTCTTCAATCTTCTCTTCCAGACTTCGGACATGTTCAGCCAATTTGGTTGCCACAGATGAGACGTGGGCTCGTAATGGGGCGGTGACAGTGTCTTCATAAATCCTGAATTTACTAACCAACACGTCCACCTTGTCCTCTCCCTCCCTCCATTGCAGTGTTGCTAAGTAGCGGGAATACATTTCTGACCCGAGTCGTGCAAACTTTAACCACATCCGGGATGTGCACTGTGCACCATCTGGACTTTTAGGGAATTTTTCATCCTCTGAAAAGATTATCTCCAGTACAGTTAATTCTCTTAAGCACCGGATACCTTGTTCCATCGTGTTCCACTGTCCTTGCTGTACGTGGAGGTCCTCCTTACAAAGGTATCTCTCCCTCACACTGGACAACAGTCACCGCCAGAGGCTGAGAGTTTCCTGCCTCCTTCCAATCCCCTGATCAATGACTACATCTCGAGACAGGGGTCCCAACTGTCTGGCTTCACTCTCATCTAGAATTGTATCGTTAGCTGCAGCATCCCAGATTCGGAGCAACCAGGTCAGAATGGACTCATTCGCCTGTCATGTGAACTCTCTCCAGAGCTCACGTAGCTCACCCAGGGATAGGGGCCGAGTGATTATTTCTGGCTCTGTCTCCTCCAGTGGATGTGAAGGTCCTGCCTCTTCATCATCATTTGCTATGCGAACTGATTTAGTCTTTGATTTTCTTTTCTGGACAGGGGCGACTGCTATTGGTTTCGATTGTTCTTCTGGCTCCTCGATGGTTTGTGTGGACACGGTGCCGGTTGGTTTCTTTCTTTCTCCCTCTGACTCGGTTGTGGTTTGGGTGGATGTGGTGCCTGTGGATTTTCTCCTTCTCTCCTCTCCCTGACAGTGCTGTACCATGTCAAGTAGTATCCGGTAGGCAGTGACCAGGGCCCAGCAGGTTGCTGTGAGTTGGCCATCTCTGGAACTGCCAGAGCATTTTCCCTTCACCAGTCTTATCACGCTAACAGGATCCTGCAGTTGTTCAGGGGTGAATTCCCAGATCATTGGAGGAGAAAACTTCTCCAAATACTGACCGATGTCCTCCCACTTCCCATGCCACTCAGCATTATCCACTCCCAGGGCAGGCGTCCAAACAACCTCCCTAGAAGGTCCTGTTCTGACCCTAAACGTGGTGTAGACAGTACAGAGCAGACAAAGCAACACTAACAATAACATTATGCTGTCCTTAACATCAAAAGGGAACTCAGTATTTTCAAAAACTGTTGTAACAGGTCTGAAGGGGAAGAAGGAGGTGAGAGGCTGGAAACAACCATTCCCCCCTGTTCCCTCAAAGGGCTGGGTGCGATTTTTAATGAGACCCTGGAGATAGCAACCCAAACCAGGACAAACAAACAGGACTGAATACACATTTACAATGAAACTCATTGCTTCTGATGTTATGATGACATAAACATAGTATACTAATAAAGCAATTTGGATCCCTCTCCCTGGTCTTAAAGAGAGTATCAAAACAGGCAAATAGTTCCCCATCTGTGGAAATATGAACAGACTCAGATACAACATCCACGTGAATGCATCAAACAACATGGTGATCAGGGAGTTTCTCTGTTCAAATAGACAAATGCTTAAAATGAAATTGTGATTCTGACTTCTCTCTCTCTCTCTCTCTCTCTCTCTCTCTGCCCCACGTTGGGCGCCAAAAATGTGCTGGTTTAAAGGTAAACCAGCAGGGGAAATGAACTCAACTCAAAAGAGAGATTATAAGTCATAATAACAATTTAATAAAATAACACAATAAGTACAATTATACAGACAAACAATTGGTTTTAACCCACAAAACCCAAATATATAACCCAACGCCCTGGGGCATGAACAGAGTGGTGTTCTTTGGGCCCCCCTGAGTCCAAAGTAAAAGGAGAGGGAAAAACCTGTTGGTGAGAGTACTGTTGCAGTCTGGTCAAGAATGGTGGTTGCAGTCTGGTTGAAAAGTGGTGGTTGCAGTCCAGTCGAGAGTGGTGGTCTGCAGTCTGGTTGAGAGAGGTGATCTGCAGTCTGACCAAGAGTGGTGGTCTGCAGTCCTCCTCTGGATCCCATGAGTGGTTAAAAGGTTCCAAAACTCCACGTTTATATATTGTCCAGTTCAGGCAGGAATGCTCAGTCCTTCCCTCAGAACGGGGAATTCCATAAATGGGTATGAGGATGCTCAGTCCTTTTTCTCAGAGCAGGTAATTCCATAAAAGGGTATGAGGACAGGAACATCTTCCTATTTCGCAGACCTCTACTGATAACAGTTCCTGGGAAATGGCATGGAAGGCCATAGAATACACAGTTTTGGGCTACACCCATCCAGTGATGAATCGGTCCCAGCTGTTCTAACTAGGACAAGTATGAATGGCTAACCTTAAAGCATTGAACTATAAGGGAATCAATGATTTCAAGAATAATTCTAGATTTTCTATAAATTTCTAGGGTTTGGGATCAGTAATCTTGATAGAATGTTTATCCAAACTAAAGACAGTTGTCTATTGTCTGCAATAGTAGCCTGCAATAATTGCAATTATTCTCAAGTTAAAGATCTGGTTTTTAGAACTCATTCTCTTTTTAGTATTTTGTTAGTTGTAGTGGGTTGACCTTGACTGGATGCCGGGTGCCTGCCCAACAACTCTATCAGTCCCCTTCCCAGCTGGAAAGGGGAGAGAGGATAAGATGGAAAACGACTCATGGGTTGGGGTAAGGCAGTTTACTAAAGCAAAAGCAAAGTAAAATCTTGTGTGCGCAAAAGGGAAGCAAAAACTAACAAGGTTTATGCTCTACTTCCCATCAGCAACAATGCCTGACCACTTCCCGGGAAGCAGGGCTTCAGCAACACATAATGGTTTCTTAGCAGGCAGCCATTAGAAACAACGAATGCCCCCCTTCCTGCTACTTTCCTTAGCTTTTATATCTGAGCTGATGGCATAGGGTATGGAATATCCCTTTGGTTAGTTTGGGTCAACTGACCTACTTGTGTCCCCTCCCAGGATCTTGCCCTCGGTTGGGGAAGGAACGTTACAGTGCTGATGCTGTGCTCAGCAGTAGCCAAAACACTGGTGTATTCTCAACACCCTTCTAGCTACCAATGCAGAGCACAGCACTGTGAGGGCTGCTATGGGGAAATGAACTCCAGCTCAGCCAGACCCAAATACATTAGTCCAGGTGCCTGATTATAGTTTCTTCCTGCCAGCAGATGGAGATAATAGTGACACATTTTGTTGTCATTCCCAGTGTAAATTTCCCAGACAGAAAATTAATGCAGAATATTTCTCTTTAAAAATCCAACTTTTTATTTTAAATTAGTAGTTAGTAACTACTTGTCAGATGGTGAGGTCTACTTGCTGCTAAATAATTGTTTGTCCCCCTTTTTCTTCACTGTAGTCTGCGATTAACTTTACTAAATGAAACAAAAGAGGTGCGAGCAGCAGGATTGCGAGCCCTCCGCTATCTCATTCGAGACTCCAGTATTCTCAAGAAGGTGCTAAAGTTGAAAGTGGATTACTTGATAGTCAGGTAATTTTCCCTTCATTCCCTGTTTTAAAATGTACTATTGTAAATCACTTGTTTTTCATGGTTGAGACAGGGGAGAAAAGGTGTTTTCATATCCTCTTACATTTTTGATATGTAACTTTATAAAAGTAATTTTTCTTTAATGCGAATAATTTCCCTCTTTAAAAATAGAGGGATAATACATCACACCAGCTAATCCAAATAAAATGTTGTCCCAATATATGATATACAAGTAATTAAAAAATTAGAAAAATTACAGGGTTTTTTGAATCATAAATACCACTAATCATAAATTAATGTGCAGTGCTATTAGAAGGTTGAAACCTCAGTAATTTTGTCTTAAGTTTGTTTTATGAGAGTTGTGCCAATTCTTTGTATTATCATAGTGCTTTGGAGTCTCTAGTACAAAGTCAGGGGAAAAAAAGTAGTTCATGCCCGACAATTTGTAATTTAAGTATAACCCATGACACAAGAATACCAAAGGGCAAAGCTAATAATGAGATAATAAGATCAGTATCATGAATAGATCTAAATATTATAATTTCTATTGCTTTCTTTCTTAAAATCTTGTTGGATTTAATATACTGATCTATATGTGTGTGTGTTTCTGTTTATAAATATGCACACACATAGTATAAACTTCAGTGTACTGTTAAATTTTGTTGGAGCAAAAGGACTTTTCTGCTCTGAGAACACACAAAACTTGATGTGAAACATTGCAAATACTTTGTTTAGTTTCTTTTGAAATGGCAAATGCAGTTAGCTCAGAAAATATTTGCTGAAACTGTTATGCTTTGTCATTGTATGTTTGAGAAGGTTCTAGCAATTTATAACAAAGATAACTGGGAAAAAATATTAAATTAAGATAATTAACCAATCATAATGAGTGTGCTTGCAGAAAGGCATAATTTGTAAACAGTCATGATATTCCTCTGTTTATTCGATTGCATAAATATTAATGGGAGATGTTAATAACAATAACTTTCACCTTAACTGTTATAAATAAAAAGTGTTTTTTAACTTATTTTAGGTGTATTGACATACAGCAGAGTAATGAAGTAGAAAGAACACAAGCACTTCGATTAGTCAGAAAGGTAAAATCTAACTTTATGTGGTCTTATCAGCTACGCCAGTCAGTTGTGCTAACTCCTGGTTTTTTCCATCAGCAGTTTGGGTTTTTTTCCACAGTCTCCCATATCTTACCTTACTTTATCATGTGAGAAGAAATTATAACTGATAATTCAAAGGAGAGAAGGAGGGATAGTGCTGAGACTTGTTTTGATTTTAATCTCTTACCACAGAATCTTGGGTGAGCTAGAAAAATCCTGCTAATTTTCCTTTGATAGAGATGAGACTGAACGAGATTTGGGAAAAAATTATAAAGTTATGAAAGTAAAGATATAAGAACCATATTATTATGTTTCATCTAATGATTTAACTTTATTGTATAGTGTGTTTAAGTATCCGTAAATCAAGGATAGGAAATTTTCTGCCATTTGAGAAACGATGCAAATTGCCATTGTTGGAATAATCAGTTGAAGGAATGCTTCTAGTCTTATTGCTTTATCCATAGAGGTTGATGCTATCTGTAGTTCTTTTCTCAGATCCACAATAAGACATAGTTAGTCTGTGGTGGTTACTGTCCTGTGTACCCATGGATGTGAGATGTTTGAAACTGTAGTAGTTGCATTTTCAAGTTCATCCTAGGGAAATTGGCATATACAACTACTGAAGCTACTTTTTTCAGGCAATATCGTACTCTGTACTGGACTGGTTTTTTATCTTGCTTACATTCTTCTACTGAACATCTTAGAAAAAACTACCAAAGACTCAAGTAAGGTTTGAAGTACTTGGAAGAATTGTTCCTCGGGAGAACTGTGTGCGTTTCATCTGTTTTGTGTATGTGTATTTCAAAAAAAAAAAAAGGTTGAAAATATAGAAGCTTGATATGCAATTTGTTGTCTTAAAATGAACTCACTTTCTTACAGGAGAGACAATATGCTTGGTTAACTACTGTACTAAAAAGAGTTTTAAACACCCACACCACCACCACCCCACCCAAAATAAACAAAAACCACAAAGGAATGGATCATTGATTGTTATCGTTTACTTTGACTGAATACCAGGTATCCACTGGGCCTGCGCCCATGTCCCTGTGGAGGAAGGGGTGGGGGAGGGGGAAGGAGAGAGGAAAGGGAAAAAAAAAGAAAAGAAATTGAAACTGCTAAGAAACATTATTTATATTACATGAGCATAGGCACTATAGGCGGTATGTATACAAAAAAGAGCTGTGTAATCAAAGCAATACACTTGCTCCATGTAGCATCAGTGGCATGATGGGTAGGGGGCAACTTTCCTTTGAACATCCAACTCAACACCAGTAGTCGAGGTGCCCAGAAGAGCTGTGTTTCCGTGCCAATCACCTCTGAGGCTACTTGTATTCCTTCATAAGTCACTAGGATTTCCTTCTCCATGGGGGTGTAGTTGGCTTCAGATCCTCTGTAGCTTCGGCTCCAGAAACCGAGTGGTCGACCTCGGGTCTCACTGGGCACTTTTTGCCAAAGGTTCCAGGAGGGACCATTATCCCCAGCTGCAGAATAAAGCGCATTATTCACATTTGGTCCTGTCCTGACTGGTCCAAGGACCACGGCGTGTGCAATCTCCTGCTTAATCTGTTTAAAGGCTTGCTGTTGTTCAGGACCCCATTGGAAATCATTCTTCTTATGGGTTACTAAGTAAAGAGGGCTCACGATTTGACTGTATTCAGGAATGTGCATCCTCCAAAAGCCTATGGTCCCCAGGAACACTTGTGTTTCCTTCTTGTTAGTTGGTGGAGCCATCGCTATGATCTTGTTGATGACTTCCGTTGGAATCTGACGACGTCCATCTTACCATTTCACCCCTAGAAATTGGATCTCTTTGGCAGGTCCCTTGACTTTACTCGTTTTATGGCAAAACCGGCTTTGAGGAGAATCTGGATAATTTCCTTCCCTTTTTCAAAAACCTCCTCTACTGTGTCCCTCCATACAATAATGTCAGCAATATATTCTATGTGTTCTGGAACCTTACCCTTCTCTAGTGTAGCCTGAATCAGTCCATGGCAGATGGTGGGACTGTGTTTCCACCCCTGGGGCAGTCGGTTCCAGGTGTAATGCACGCCTCTCCACCTGAAAGCAAACTGCGACCTGCACTCTACTGCTAAGGGGATGGAGAAGAATGCATTTGCAATATCAATGGTGATGTACCACTTCGCTGTCTTGGACTCCAGTTCATACTGGAGCTCCAACATGTCTGGCACAGTGTCACTCAAGGATGGGGTGACTTCATTTAAGCCACAATAGTCCACAGTCAGTCTCCACCCTCCATCAGACTTACGTACAGGCCAAATGGGGCTATTGAAAGGTGAGTCTTGCTAACCACCCCTTGGCTCTCCAACTCACGGATCATCTTATGGATGGGGATCACAGCATCTCTGTTCGGTTCTGTCATCTATGCACTATTGTAGTGGCCGTTGGCACTTGTTGATCTTTGACTTGTAAGATCCCACAATGGAAGGATCTTTTGAGAGGCCAGACAGGGTAGATAATTGTCTAAATTTCTCTGTAGCCACTGCGGCTACACCAAAAGCCCATAGATACCCCTTTGGGTCTTTGAAATATCCTCTCCTGAGGTAATCAATGCCAAGGATGCAAGGGGCCTCTGGACCAGTCACAATCGGGTGCTTTTCCCATTTGTCTCCCATTAAACTCACTTCAACCTCTAGCACCGATAATTCTTGATATCCCCCTGTCCCTCCAGAAATCCAAATGGGCTCTGTGCTTTTATGCCCTGATGGCATCAAGGTGCATTGTGTGCCAGTGTCTACTAAAGCTTTGTATCTCTGCGGATCCGATGTGCCAGACCATTGAATCCACACAGTCAAGTAAACCCTATCGTCCCTTTCCTTCTCCTGGTCAAAGGCAGGGTCTCTCTATTGTTCTTGGTCAGAGTATTCACTGTCTGATCCTTGCATTGCGCAGCTAGACGTCCCCTCGGTCTTTCTGCATCTTAAAGGTCACTGATCTCTTTCCGGGGCCTCTGCATCAACTATGTGGATGTCCTTCTTACTAGATTTCTTCCCTCTTAATTCTCGTACCCGGGCTTCAAGTTTATAGGTAGGTTCACCATCCCACTTCTTCATGTCTTCCCCTTGTTCACGCAGAAAGAACCGTAGTTCACCGCGTGGTCTGCTCCTGGGGTTTCCTTTCCTCCTGAGTGGGACAGGAGGAGACCGAGACCACTTTCTTAGGCTGCTTCTGCAGTAGTCCTATACTCTGTATCCAGGTACACATAGTATCCACATTTGCTTCAGTCATCCTTGGATGATATAGTGTTATCAGACAATTAACATATGATGCAGGGGCACCTTGAATTACTTTTCTCCACATGGGCAACGTGCAAGGAACACGCTCTGGACTTTGGTAGTGGGGGTCGCCTGGGTCACTGTAAATCATTTCCAGCATGGCCAATTCCCGCAGGTACTGGATGACTTCCTCTTCAGTAGTCCATCTTCTTGGAGAGCTCATTAGATCTTCTTTAAATGTGTACCTGTCTCTCACAGCAAAGAGGATCCTGGTCCAAAGACTGCTAATAAATCTCTCTCTTCCAATTTCCTGTTCAATTTCACGATCTCAGGCAATAGATCCTAGTTGCTGTGCTTCATGACTTTCTAACAGGTGACTACCAGCCCCGTCATCCCAGCATTGGAGCATCCATGTAAGAATTCGTTCACCAGGCTGGCAGTTGTAATCTCTCCCCAGTTCCCGAAGTTCTGATGGGGTCAGGGACCGGGTAACTTTGCTCTCCTGTCTAGTTTCCTCTCTGCTTCTCTCACGTGGAAGTGGAGGTGGAAACGCCCCCGCTCCCTCTAATGAATCACCGACTATTTGTCCTGCCTCCCTTTCTTCTCTTGGAGGCATGGATGGGGTAGATCCTTCTCCTTCTTCCTCTCTTACTAATCACAGAGGCAGGCCTGTAGGTCCTGCAGAGCTCCTTATCCATGTCTTCCTTTTCACTACAGGGGCAATAGTGACATCAGATGTCATGGTTTGGATCCCTGTCTCATAGTCTTTTTAGAATATTGAACAGCAGCTTGGTAGGCACAGGCCAGGCCCCAGTACAGGGTGAGAAGTTGTTTTATAAACAATCCTTCTTGGCAATTTTCCCGGCCAATGCACCAAAATTGTTATCGTATACTTTGACTGAACACCAGGTATCCACTGGGTCTGCGTCCACATCCCTGCAGAGGAAGGGGTGAGGGGGGGAAGGAGAGAGGAAAGGAAAAAAAAACTACGAGAAATCGAAACTACTAAGAAAGTTTATTTATATTACATGAAGATAGGTGCTACAGGCAGTATGTATACAAAAAAGAGCTAAAAGAAGAAAATACTTCCCAAACAACCAATGCTTTCCTCCCAAAACCGCCTAGTTCGGCAACCGGAAAAGAAGAGAGTGATCTCTTCCTTCCTGGCTGTTTAAATAGCTGGACTGATGTAGCATGGCATGGAATATTCGATTCCTCCTGGGAAAAGGAAGTACTATTTGACTACACAAACCTATTACCTTGAGGAAGTCACAATTTATAAAACTTCTTTGCTAATCTAGTTTTAAAAAGAACTTCAGTGTAGGGCTAGAATAATGTAAATTGGAAGATGGAATGGAAACACATTTATAAAAACCATATATTGTTTTTATTTGGGTCAGAAATTTACCCTCATATTCCTGGGCTTTCTTGAGCATTTCCTAGTTGAACAAAGACTTGTCTTGCTTGAAAGAAACAAGAGGAAGCAAGAGAAATAAACCCATTAGTTTGACTTTAAACAATGATCCTGGAAGATTGTTGTGGTTTTACCTCAGCCAACAACTATGCACCACACAACCGCTCGCTCACTCCCCCTGTGTCGGGATGGAAGAGAGAATCAGAAGAGTTAAAAGTGAAAAAACTTGTGGGTTGAGATAAAGACAGTTTAATAGGGAAAGTAAAAACTGTGCACACAAGCAAAACAAAACAAGGAATTCATTCAACCCTTCCCATGGGCAGGCAGGTGTTCAACCT